ACTTCTCCAGCAGCATCAAACAGTTCTTTCAATAGTTCTTTCTGATTCAAAAAAGGCCTTGATTTTCTTTTTTCACATTTCAAATTTTATTTTTTAAATAAAAACTATTTCCCAATGGTCAGATACAGTGACAGTAGGACTTGTTCATTAGAGATTTGTACCGAACACATTCTTTCATGTTTCAATGTTCAAAACAAGCCCCTCCTTCTTGTGGAGGTCAAAATTTGTTCTTAAATAGCAGTAGGAAGGAAGAGAGATTAATAATAAATGATGTTTAACTGAAAACATTAGTAAGAAAGCAGGAAAATGCACCAAGAAAACTGAAGCAGTATTGGCCTAAGTGGGTGGAAATACCTCTCTGGCCAATCACTTTATCTTCAATAGTCCAGGTCAATGACATGCGTATTCTTTTTGGCCCTCATCAAGTTTTAGTTACCTCAATGCTCTAAAATTTCCTTCAAGAACTCATGGAACATCACCATGTAAATTTGCATTAATGAGCAGAGGTTTGAAGAGTAGCACTCTTTGACCTTGAATATTCTCTTTGAACTCTTATCAACTAAAACACCAATTATTTTAATTATATTTTAACTATGACATCATCTTTTCATTTACGTAACATGATGTCTATCTTATTTGCATAATGTGGGGTTATATAAACAAGACACACAGCTTGTCGGAACACAAAACATAAAAGGAAGCACAAATATTCATTTAACTTTTTTGCACAACTTTTAGCATTTCTACCCACATCACAGATTTAATGATCATCATCATCATCATCATCATTGCTAAGCCACTACTATTATGAATAACACCACTATTTCCTGATATTTGCTTAACAACAACTTTCTTCCAGAGTTATTCTGTCTTCCCTATTCAAAGGATTAAAACCCCAGCTAAAAGACTCACCCATCTTGTCTTGTCTTAAATTTTCCCATGTTCATTAATTTGGCCAGTAATTCTTTCCCTGTGGATGGTCCAAAAGTGCTCACCGCATAATGCCTGCTTCTGAACCCTGTGATTACCCTTGAAGGCTCTAGTGGTCTCTCTTCCCCCAAGCTTGGAATCTCCTACCTGCTGGAACTCTCCTGGGAGATAATCAGGGCTTTACTAAGCTCCTAAGCTTCTTTCCACCTTGTGCCCAGTGTTGCTACTCAGATTCCATGGTCCTGGGTACCAGTTCCCACCTCTTTACTTCAAGAGCAGCACATCTACCATCCAACACACACTTTCCACCAGCTCACTCCACTCAATCTATGTACAAACTTCTTAGTATTCTTTCTTAGTAGCATTTGATAATAAAAATAATAAAATAACCAAAACTCCTAAGTCCTCGCCATGTTTTAGTTACTATTCTAAGTGCTCTTACATATATTAACTCATTTAGTCTTTGCAATAACCCTACAGGTTTATTACCCCCATTTTACCAATAAAGAAGCTAAGGCACAAGAAGTTTACTGACTGTCTAAGGTCCCATGGTTGGGGAGCTGGGATAAGAACGCAGGTAGGTGGGCTGCAGAACCCACACTGTTAACCACTATGCTGAAGAACTTCTTTCAGAAACCATGAGCCCTTCAAATCACGTGGCCATTGCTGTGGCAGAAAGAAATCTCTTTATTTCTCATCTTTGAATCATTGAGTGACAGCATTTTGGTTATATAAAGCATTTGAAAAAACTCTAGGAAAAATAACAGATGCTAGGAGAACCATTTTAGGGGAAAGGACCTTGGTAAAAGATTGTAACATTGAAGGAAAATGGCTGACATTGAAATCGGCAAGACGATTTCATTCCCTTCTGCTGAGGTTCGGTTCAAGAAATACCTCCCCATGAGACAGTCTGGATAATGAGCCACTCAGAGTTTAAATGAAGATAGGAGAAGAATTAAAAGGAAGACACTTTTCAAAAATGCTTTGACTCTTTGTGAAAGGTTTTCTGGACTGATCTGCTGAATGGGTAGCTTTTGTCACTGCTCATCTTTGCTTTGGCATGAATGCCTCAAAGGTGAGGTCATTTATGTTTTTCTTTTGTTTGAATGTCAAAGATTTCTCTAAGGCTGGATTTTCCTGCACTACAGTAAACCTGTTCAGTCATCTTGTGGGGATAGTTTGACCAAAGTTAAATTCTTTGAATTGGAAGGATTAAGGGAAGGGAGAAGTCAAGAAGGAAAGAGAAGGATAGATTTATCCCTTAGTGATTTTTAAGTACAAAATTTGTAATTGTATCTTGATTCCAGGTAAATGCTTAATCTCATTTCTCCTCCTGCTATCTGCGAAGCAATTTATCTCTAGCAAAACTCTGCTAAAAATAATTTTTGTGTTGCAAATGATTTAGGGCTGCCTACTACCTTATGACACATTCTTTCATTTAGTAGATAAATATTTACCAAGTACCCATGAGGTGTAAGCTCACCTTTGCATCTCACTGGTAGTCCAATCCGGAACAGCCATGGAAATTAGCCATTGAAATTAGTCGATGTTTAAGGTAAAATTAGATTAATACTAAAAGAAATCAGGAAGAGAAAATTATTTTACTTTTTTTAAACATCTAAAAATAAATATTTTAGGGCATATCTGCATGGTTAAGGAAATGAAGTCAAACAATCTTTCAGTTGTGATCCATACATAAGATTAATTCCATCACAATGATGTTTCTGGTGTTAGAACTGTTCAACAAGAAATGACAGCCTTTTGAAGATGAGCATTTTGTTGCAAAACAAGCTCACTCTTTATGAATTTTATTTTTATCTGACTCAGAGAGGAAGACAGTGAGAAAATGGGTCCAGCACTTTCAAGCTTTAAAAAATTATCATTATTTTTCAGCAATTATTTCCTCCAAAGAGAAACCATTAGTTCTTTGAAATTCTCTTAGAAATTCTCTGCAACTTTGGTAGCAATTTGTGTACACTGCGCTCCTCCTCTATAAGACTATTAGTTCCTTGAGAGGAAGATCTATTGAAGATTCTGCTTTTATTCCCCTGTGTTTCGTACAGAGTAATCCTTAATAAATATCTACTGGGTTAAGTAATAAATACATGCATTAATTAAGTTTACCTCTATTCTCATTCATAAACTCTACTTTCTCAAGTATGTCCTTGAGAAATCCCTGTCCTTGTCTCATCTCCTTGTCTTCATTTATGCTGTTTCCTCTGCCTGTGGCACATGTCATCCTTGCCAGATCCTCCTCCTCAGCCTTCAAGGCCCAGTTCAAAGGACAACTTCTCTAAGGCAAAACCATTTTTACCCACTCCTCTCTCACAGATTATTGGGCATAATTCCATTATGACATTTATCACTTATAGTAGTTACTTAACGTGTCCCTAGATTACACATCTTTGAAGATGGGAGACTATGTCTTATTCATGTTTAAATCTCAAGCTGAAAGTGTTTGGCACGCAGAAGAAACTCAGTAAATGTCAGCCCTATGAGTTCATGAGTGCCCATGATCTTCTATTAAAGAACATGATGAATGTTCATCAGCTTCTGCCTGTGACCCAACAAGATCCCAGCTCTCCTAAAAGATACTCCAGATGTTCGCAGATTGTAATGCTCATCTCTTGCCACTAACCAAAGAGCAGCAAGCCAGAGTCACTTTAGATTCTTCCAGAAACACAGCAGAACTCAGAATTCGCACTACCTAAGATATTTATCAGAGCTCAGGTTGATGGTTCTGGGATAGGGAAACTGCCTCTAGCTTCTTTGCTCGGATCCAAGCTATAATAGGGGCATCCGTACTCCTTCCAGATCATTGATGCCAAAAAGGGCATCTCAGTTGGATATCTTCAATTATTCAGTGGGGGCCTACTTTCCTCTTTACCACTACCAGCTACCAATCCCAGGGAAGGTAACTCCTTCTTCTTCTTTTCCATGTATGATTTAACAGAACAAAAACCAGTACCAGTAACTAACTTTCAGAACCATATTCCCGTTCAGTTCTCTCATGGATTAGATCTCCCTGGACAACCCACGTTGGTCTCATTCTAGCCTGCCTTAATTGTTCACATTTGGTCTTTAGACTGCAAGCTCTGACACTGGGATGGGGACAGAGTTTTGTGACATGTCCCTGCTTCCACAAGTGTTTCCCAAATGTCAGTCATTTGCATACTATCTTCATGCTTTTTGCCATATTTGCATACTATTGGTACTATTATTGTCTTACTATTTTTCTTTAAATTGATTCATTATTTACTAAAATAAATATGGCTTTATCCTATGCAATATCATCTATAAAAATCACAGGTTTGAAATCTTATAATGCTATGAAATAGATATTCATCATATACCACCAGTGGTTCTCACGCCACAGAGTTCCTGGGTCCAAAGTCTTGAGCTATTCCTTTTTATTTGTTTGTTCATTACTATATGAATGATCTCTTCTTGGATTGCTAATTATTTCTTCCTTATTGTTTTCTTCTATTCTCTTTTCTTCTACCTATCCTATTTTAGAAGTTCTTCATACGCATTTCAGATTACTTGTCTTATAAATGGGGATTATATGTTTAAGAATAGAAGTGTGAAAAGAGTCCTGACAGCCCAAGTTCTAGTTCTAGCTCCCAATATTAACTTTGAGGTCTTAGTAATCCCTCTGAGCCTCTGTCTGTTCATGCTGGAATGAGAGGAGTGACCCAGATTCGCTCACTCTTTGAGGCTTCTTGTGATTTGAAGCACATGAGCCAAATATATGGTATTAATTCATTTACAAAGAAAAAAATATTCAGAATATCTAGTTTAATGGACCAGGAAGTATATGAAACAGTAGTCAACTGTAGTATAATGCTGATTTTTAAAATCAAAATATAAAGTTAAATGTCAATGAGACATTTTTTTTATTGACCGTGTTTTTTCTAATGTTTTATAGTAAAATATATTCAAATGTTACTAAATGCAACACGAGCTAACCATGAATTTCAGAAAAAAGCATTGTATACTAAAACTATGTGAAACTGAGACTCTAGTGTTTAATTCCTGTTTATGTTTAATATACAACTCTCTCTCTAAAGGCCACCAATACTGGGTAGAAGAACAAGTTCACTGAAACCATGGATGATTGCCCTTATTATCACAGCTGTTGTGTTGGTTCTAGCAATAATCATCGGTCTCCTTGTTTATTTTTTGGAATTTGGTAAGAATCTATCTTACTGTATTATTTTGAAAATTTAAAGATCCACTCAATTATTTTAAAACGTTAATATTTTAGAATTCAATTTCAGTGCGATGATATTTGCATAAATGTAAGCATAATTTGCATAATGCAATGTTAATTTGCATAATTTTGTCTACATTTGGGAAATGATAATCCTTCATGTAAAAACATTACCTCTAGCATTTAAAATTTGACTTGGTTCAAATTAAGTTGTCTCTTGAACAATGCAATAAATTCACATCCTATGTTATTGTATGGTTTAATAATAGTTAATGTACTGAGTAAAAATTATTTTAGTAGCAATTCTAACTTTGAGGTCAACTTATGACAATATATTACATTCTAATAGTATCTAATTAACAGCTTAAATTTATGAATTATCACTAACAGATGAAAATTGTGTCAGGACACAACTGACAACCACATGACTATGAGAATGTATATCTTAAAAAAGGGTTAGAGGGAGATATTGGTCACAGCTATCGAATGTTTAATTCCCAGGAGTTTATTATTTATAGGACTTTTTTGCTTGTCATCCTCTCTATTTCTGATATTTATACAACGCAAATGAATTAAAGAGAAACCATCCATTTTTGTTCTCCCTTCCAGATCAGAAGTCTCACTATTACCAAATCTCCTTCCAGATCCCTAGTATTGAATATAATCCTGCTTTTTCAGTAGAACACTCAAATATTAGGACTGACCTGAAACAAAAAATCAGTGATGAGGTAAGAATGAGTTTTGCTGGCATTATTCCTACCCCGACAATACAATTATAACGAAGGAGGTTAAAAAAAACTAAGAGGTGAGTTGAGAACACACCAAATTGCACATATTTTTGGGGTTGCCAGATAAAATACAGAATGCTCAGTTAAATTTTAAGTTCAGATCCTCCTGAAAATACACTTTATGCAATATTTTAAACATGTTTATACTAAAAAATCATTCACTGTTTATCTAACATTAAAACTTAACTATTTTTATTATTTTTATTTGCTACATCTGGCAATTCTAGCCAACATTATCTCAGGAAAGTTGGAAAAATATATTGGATGAAGGATAATTGCATTAGAGACTGAACAATATAAGTGCAACAGAAAAATAAATAGCTCAAACACACACAAAAATTATTAGAGTTATCTGGAAACATAATAATTTAGGCAAAAACAACATTACCACACACCATTTATTAAGCACCTAGTATGTGTATGACCCTGATACATCTTCCATTAGGCAACTTATACCAAACACTTATTCCTGAACATAAACCATAGAAACACACAGACTAATTCTTCTGCTGAAGACTTCAGTTAAATACAGAGCTTCCACTCAGCCTAGCCTTGACCAAGCTGACAGATCATTCTTGCCAGGTTCAGAAATATTTCTTTAGCCATTTCCCAGCCAAAAGCAAAGCTGATGAAATCAGTTGAAGGATGCAACTAAGTGCAGTTGGCATGTCTTTTCAAAAAAACATCCTAAGGAAATTTTGATTAGGGGAAAAGAAAAATCAGGGTAGGGTATAGAATGTTTTGTTATAGGAAACAATACATCAAATTAGAAACAAGATAGGCTTAGAAGTCAGAACATCTAGATTCATATTCTAATTTTACCCACTGTGAGCTTAACAACTTTGGAAAAGCTACAAAATAGAGACAATTTCACCCAACTCCCTTAGTTATTCTGAGGATTAGTTTACGTTGTGAAACAAAGTATGAAAAGTAATGTCTGAATAAATGTTAGCATGTTTCCTCCACTCTCACAGAAGTTTTCATACACCTCTGCTAGAGCGCTTACTGTCTTGTTACATTATTTTTGTTTTGTAAGTCTATGCCCCTCTGGATTTGTGAGGAGCTATATCTACTTATTCTTATATTTCCGGTACCTCTCATGGTGTCTGCCACATGGTAGAACCATAAAAATACTCATCAAGCAGGTAACTAGTAAATACAGCCAGTTCACTAGTACTGGCCCTGTCCCCTGGAGCATAAGCGGAGATAACATAAAGAAGGAAAGTACAGTCATTTTGCCCAGGAGATGGCAAACTTTTTCTGTGAAAAGACAGATGGTAAATATTTTTGACTTTTCAGGCCATTCAGTCTCTCTGCAATTGTAGTGCAAAAGCAGCCATAGATAATAGGTCAACAAAGGAGTGTAGTTATGGTCCAATAAAACTTTATTATGAATGCTGAAAGTTGAACTTTGTAAACTATTTAGAAGTCACTAAACATTATCCATCTTTTGATTTTTGTTCAACTATTAAAATAATGTGAATACCATTCTCAGATGATCGACCATACAAAAACAAGCAGCTGGCTAGATTTGCCTACAGGCTATAATTTGCAGACTCCTGATTTAGACTACGAGCTACAGTTCCAGCAAACATTTTCCTAGAAGAAATGATTAAAACTAGTACCTAAGATGAGTTTTAGAGACTTCTTGTGGAGTTTAATAATCTCGACTGCTTATATACTCAGTTGCCTTGAATGATACATGGTTCACAAAGCTGTGATTTAAAGGAAAACAACAAAAAATCATGAAAGTGGAAACAGAACGGAAAGAGGCAGACAGAAAAATTATAATATATATAAATTATAAATATTATATAAAATATATATAAATGTATGTAGAAAATCTGGAAGTACATACCAAAATCATAAATAGCACATTCTCTATAAAGTGATTTAGAAATGATTTTAATCTCATTATACTTTGCTGTATTGCTTGCTTTTTATAACTTTTTATAATGAATATGTATTAGTTTTGTCATTTAAATGTGCATGTGCATATAAAACTATTTCCTTGAGAAAAAACTTACCTTCCCATCAGTTAGTAGGAAAACACATGGTCATTCATTTTTGAATAACTATTGATTTCTAAATAAACTTATGCTCACCAACCTATCCAATATGATATTACACACCACTTCAGCAGAGAAAATTTTATAAATTAAATCTGATGAGTGAAAAGCACTTGTTCAACATACACCTAGTTTCGCAACTTGGCAGCTCTTCTCTTCTGATTTGTGGAACTAATTATCAAGACTCAGGTTCACTTAAGCTTTGGCATATGATCAGTCTTTCTTTCTGAGAAGCCAGCTTGATGACTCAATGTTAATTATCAGGTTTGTGAAACCACAGATTCTATAACAAGCTGTGGTTTTGGTATGAAATAATTTCTTCTAGGAATTTATAACACAGACAAATTATCCCATATAAGAAGTCTAAAATGACACACAAATGACATATATAGTCTTACCTTATTGTAAATAATTATTTCATGCATTTTTCTTGATGGGTATATTCACTTTAAAGAAGTTCCCAATTAGCATACATTCTCCTCTCCTGCATTTACTACAGGATCAAAATGAGGTCTAAAAAGTTTCACTAAAGCCTAAAAAACTAATCCTTTAGTTACATCCATGAGAATGATAACTGAGCATGAATGATACTGGGTGATAAGTCCATATATATCAAGCTTTCAAAGAAACTCAGTCTCTACACCTCCACTCTGTATATTTTTAACTGGGTATTGAAATAACTAACTTAATTCAACTCTTTATATATCAGCCATCTTTGGCCATGAGACAAGTTGTTCAAATATCAACATGCTATTACAGAGATGATTTTATGACAATAGGATAATGCCCAAATGAGCTTTCTGGGCATAGCTGAAAACAAACTTAGAACTAACGGCTATTTGAATCACTGTAGGTTTTATCTAAGCATTTTTGTGATATATTGAAATGTGTGAAATTCGTATTTAACAAAATTCTTTACTATTGGTTTTTTCTTTTCTCAGATAGATAAGACATTTCAAAGATCCAGTTTAAATCGTCATTACATCAAGACTCATGTTGTCAACCTTAGGTAATCACAACTAATTAATTTGTATGATCAAAAGGCAGCTTTGCATTATTTAGTTATCCTTCAATTATTTGCTTTGTGGACAGCATCTAAAAATCTTATGTATATCAAGAGCAAAAGTAATCTAATATTATTACATTTAATTGTTATTTCTCCTGTACAGAGTACCTGTAGGGGGGGAGTTTCTTAACTTGGGTAGTGATGAAATATATTCTACTGGCTGTCCTTTTAAAGACTTGCATTCCAGTTAAAGATTCTTACAATCATTAACTACTCCTCTCAATTTTACTTACTTTCTTTTAAGAATAAAGAGATATTATGTTATAAAAAATCAAGCAAAAATATACATATATTTATAATAAATCAAATTGATGGATTTAACAAGTACTTTTGTTTTATTTTCCCAGAAAAAAAATTCTAGAACTCTCAAATACTCCTGAATGTGATCAAGTTTTACAAGCAGGGAATAATTCAGACATTAAAAACTACATTATACAGGAAGGGGAAAAAAACCATGGCAACAAAATGTATAAAATATTTATGTTGTATTTTCTTGAAGACACAGCTAATTTTTAAATAATAAGGTATAAAATAATAATCAATATGCTATGACCTCATTCATTTATTCTGGTGTTTTTGTTTTCCAGGTCAAGTAATGATGGTCTGAAAACAGATGTATTGCTCAAATTTCAGTTTGTGTCTAGCAATGCAGACACAATAAAAAGGCAAGCTGATAACATTTTGTGGCAGAAGTTGAAATTAAATGAAAGCTTCTTGAAGATAGACACTTCATTACCTTATCTTAGAGGCAAGAAATACCATTTTTCTTCCCTTGTTATAGTTTATCATTTTAACAATCTTCTTATCTACAGAAAAATCTTCTTTATTCCACCATAAAGTGAAACCACTTTTCATTTTTAAGTCTCTCATTTACGTGATAATAAATCCCTACACGATCAACTCCAAAGATTATCTTCCTTTGGTTACTATGGAAATAATCATGAAACAAAAATTATATGATAACTCAAATATAATAGTATATCTTCCTTTTTTAAAAGAGATCCTAGTGGAATTGTTTGAATTAATGAAGCACGCATGTGATAAAACCTACTCTCTGTAACTGATATAGTAATCTACAATGCCTGGGTCTTTCTATTGCAGTGCTCTCTTATCTCTCCAATCTGAATCCAGAATGTAAGAGTGGTGTGGACACAGAAAGCACAATATGTGGGGCATAAACATAATTTCGGCTGCAGTGGAAGGAGGTCTGGCATTTTAGATTGCACTATCAAAACTCTTTCTACAATACACAGGATAGGACTGGCCCAGGGCGTGGAGGGGATGGAGGAGAAGAAAGATGCGGGACCCTGATAGTACCTGTCTCAGGCATAAGGACATCATCTCATTTGCAACACAGACCTAAAGAGCTGAATGATAAATGTTTGGCGTATAAGATAAAACAAAGCTCATTATAATTCCAAGACCATTGCTAGGCTTCTATAAATTAACTTTGAAGTTGTCATATTTTAGCAGAGCTTGTGTAAATTGTGAAATGAGATTATAAAGCTGACAGAAAATTACAAGTTACCAATGAGTCTTCCCTCGGCACTTTTTCCCCCAAACTGTTCCAGAGGGCTAGAGAAGGTATATTATAATATATTAATAGAGGAAATAATTGCATTATACGTTTGGCGAAATTCAGAATGAAGAGAAAATAGCTTGAAGACAAGAACTTGAAGTCTCTGTGAGTAATGCCCAACATTCAGTTCTATTAATCATGCAGGTAGAACAGAGCAGACTCTGAATCCAGTCCACTGGACTTTAGATAGCAGAGACAAGACCTCCTGAAGGAAATGCTTTGTTGAAGATATGTAAAAAGGTGTGTATGAAAGGTAACTTTATTTTTTAAAAAATTAATTTTGATTTTTAGCTCCCATTAAGCCAAATGTTAGAAACTTAAACTCCATCGTTTCTGGATCTGTCCCCTACTCCACCCCCACACTCTGTGGTGTTAGGGGACTTAGGTCATTCATAGTGTTGCTGGATTAGAGTCGGGTATTTGGGTCTCAGTCATTACTGGGCCATGCAGGCATCTCCTGGTGCCCCATATATATTACCAGATCTTCAGTTGCCTGTCTAAGCAAGTTACCGGTGAGACATTCCTCATTCCCGTGGAAAGATCTCTTCAAATTAGTAATTCATCCTAATACTTCTGTGCTTCCCAAGGGTGCTTGGCAGTTACTTTGTTTTGTTTTATTTCATCTGTCTCTGCAAAAGACTGATAATTCCTTGAATGCACAAAATGTGTTTTCTGTAGTTACAAACACATCCCCAAGATTAGCATAGAACTCAGCACAGAGCAGGAACTTAGCATTTGCAAAATATTTTATCTTTAACTCCATAAACTAACTCAATCTCTTGAAAGTGTGCAGGAAACAAAAGCAGTCTTTTAAAATGAATAAATACCACAGAACATTGAGGAACCTGGAATCATTCCTTTTTCCGCATAGCGTTTTAGAACTGCACTTAAAAAATACGTAAAAGGCATTCATATCAGAGAGAAAGAAATAAAATTGTCTCTATTTGTAGACAAGACGATTGCATAGAATACTCCAAGGAACCTACAAAAAACTCCTAGAACCAATAAGTGAGTTTAGTAATGTTTCAGGACACAAGATCGATAGACAAAAATCAATTGCATTTCTATATACTGATGACAAATGAGTGGAAATTGAAGTTAAAAACCCACAACATTTACAATTTCTCCAAAGAAAATGAAATATTCAGTCATAAATATAACAAAAAAGTACAGGACTTATTTGTTGAAAGTTAGAAGATGCCGATACTCAACATAATAAAGATGTCAATTCTCCCCTAATTGATATAGAGGTTTAGCAAAATTTCTATCAAAATCTCAGCTAGTTTCAAGCCAGCCCTGATGGATTAGTGGTTAAAGTTCATCACACTCCACTTGCACAGCCTGGGTTTGCTTGCCAGGCACAGAACCACACCACTCATCCGTCAGTAGCCATACTGTGGCAGTGGTTCACAAAGAAGAACTGGAAGGACTTACAACTGGAATATACAACTATGTATTGGAACATTAGAGAGGGAAAAAAAAAAAAGAGGAAGATTGGCCACAGATGTTAACTCAGTGCAAAATCTTTCCCAGCCAAAAAAAAAAAAAATCTCAGCTAGTTTCTTTGTAGACATAGACAAGATTATTCTAAAATTTATATAGAAAGGAATGAGAATATTAAAAATAATTTTGAGGGCCAGCCAGGTGGTGCAGCAGTTAAATTTGCACGTTCCACTTCTCGACGGCCCAGGGTTCACTGGTTTGGATCCCGGGTGCAGACACGGCACCGCTTGGCAAAAGCCGTGCTGTGGTAGACATCCCACATATAAAGTAGAGGAAGATGGGCACAGATGTTAGCTCAGGGCCAGTCTTCCTCAGCAAAAAGAGGAAGATTGGCAGTAGTTAGCTCAGGGCTAATCTTCCTCAAAAATAATAATAATTATTATTATTATTATTTTGATAAAGAAGAATACAGTGGGAAAAATCATTTTTCCCCATCTTAAGGCTTGCTGTATAGCTGTAGTAATCAAGAAAGTGTGCTTCTGGTGAAAAGACAGATATATAAATCAAAGGAACAGAATGAAGAATCTAAAATAGTTCCACAAAAAAAATGCCCAATTAATTTTTGACAAAGGAACAAAAGTAATTCACTGGAGGATGGATAGCCTTTTCATTAAACCAGTGGTAGGGCAACGGGCATCCTTTAGCCAAAAAAAATGAGCCTCTACTTAAACCTCACAGCTGATACAAAAATTAACTCAAAATGGATCATAGATATAAATGTAAAACATAATGTAATGTGAAACTATAAAATATATGGAAATAGGTATAAATTGTATAAAAAGTATAAGTAAAATATGTAAAATTATAAGACTTATGGAAAAGAACATAGGAGAAAATTGTCGGGGACCCTAGACCAGGGCAAGAGTTAGACTTGTTACCAAGAGCATAATCCATAAGAGGAAAGTTTGATTAATTTGATCTCATCAAAATTAAAAACTTTCCCTCTGTGAAAGACTGTTTACAAGGAGTACAAGGTAAATTACATACTAGTTGGAAGTATTTGCAAATTACATATCCAACACAGGTCTCATATCTAGAATATACAAAGAATTCCCCAAATTCAACATTTTTAAAATAAACAATAGTTCAATTAGAAAAAACTTGCACAGACATTTCATCAAAGAGGATGTACAGATGACAAACACATAAAAAAGAGTTCTCAACCCTTATTTCTTTGAATACTTTTTCAGTCCCACACTCAGGAGAGTTCCCTTTTATTTCTAATGGACTAAGAGTTTTTTCATGAATGGGTGTTGGATTTTTTAATTGAAGTAAAATTCACAGAACATAAAATTAACCATTAACCATTTTAAAGTGCACAGGTTAGTGGAATTTATTATCCAGTGTTGTGCCACCATCATCTCTACCTAGTTTCAAGACATTTTCATCACCTCAAAAGAAAATCCTGTACCCATTAAGCAGTCGCTTCTCATTCCCTCTTCCCCCAGCTCTTCACAACCACTAATTAACTTTCTGTCTCTATGGATTTATCTATTCTGGATGTTTCATATAAACGGGATCATATAATATGTGACATTTTGTGTCTGGTTCCTTTCGCTTACCATAATATTTTCAACCATGCCGTAGGATGTATCAGTACCTCATTCCTTTTTTATGGCTGAATAATATTTCACTGTATGCATATACTACATTTTGTTATCTATTCATCAGTTGATGGACATTTGGGCTGTGTTTACCTTTTGGCTGTTGTGAATAGTACTGCTGTAAATATTGATGTAAAAGTATTTGTTTGAATACCTGTTTTCAATACTGTTGGATATATAGCTAGGAGTGGAATTGCTGGGAAATATGGTAATTCTATGTTTAACTTGTTAAGGAACCGCCAAATTGTTTTCCACACTGTATGCACCATTTTGCATTCCCACTAGCAACATATGAGGGTACAAATTTCTCCCAGTCCTCACCAACACTTGTTATTTACTGATTTTTTGATTATGGGTAACCTACTGGTTGTGACAGGTGTCAAATTTTGTTGAATGCATTTTCTGTGTCAATTGGCATGGTCACATTTTTCTTCTTGGGTTTGTTGATATGGTAGGTTACATTAACTTATTTTCAAATATTGAACCACCATACATGGAATAAAGCCCACTTTGTCATTGCTTATTATTCTTTTTATACACTATTGGATTCAATTGTCTAAAATTTTGCTGAGGATTTTACACATAAATTCATGACAGATATTAGTCTGCTGTTTTCTTTTCTTGTTGATCTAGTTTTAGTATCAGGGTAATACTAGCTTCATCAAATGAATTAGAAAATGTTCCCTTTTCTTCTAATTTTTGAAAGGAATTGTGTAAAATTGATGTTAATTCTTTTAATGCTTTGTAAAATTCTCCAGTCAAGCCATCTGGGCCTGAGGATTTCTTTTTTGATAAATTTTTGTTACAATTTAATTGCCTTAGTAGTAGCACTATTCAGATTATCTATATCATCTTTGCTGAGTTTTAGTAGTTTGCGGTTTTCAAGGAATTTGTCCATTTCTTCTAAGTTGCCAAGCATGTGAAAGTAAAGTTCATAATTTCCTTTGGTTAACCTTTAAGGGCTACAGGCTCTTTTGTGATATCCTGTCACTTCATTCCTGATAATGATGATTTATTTCTTCTCTACGTTTATCTTTGTCATCCTTTCCAGAAGTTTATTAATTTTATTTTTTCTTACAACTAGTGTTTTTTGGTTTCATTAATATTTCTGTTTTCGATTTCATTGATTGAAATTTTGATCTTGATTTCTCTTTATTATTTCTACCTCCTCCTTACTTTAGGCTTATCCTGCTCTTCTTTTTCTAGTTTTTTGAGTTGGGAACTTAGAGTATTTATTCGAAATTATTTCTCTTTTCTAATATAAGCATTTAGTGCTATAAATTGCCCTCTCCACAATGCTTTATCTGCATTCCACAGTATTTGCTATGTTGTATTTTTGCTTTGAAGTGTACTTTATCTGCTATTAATAGAGCCACTCCTGACTTTTTTTGGACTAATATTTGTATGATATCTTTTTCCATTCGTTTACTTTCAATTTACCTATGTAGAAAGCATATAGTTGTCAAGTTTTTTCAATCCACTCTGCCATTCTGTATTTTAATTGGTGTATTTAGACCATTCACATATTAAAGTTAATTCTTGATATGTTAGAGCTTAAGTCATTCATTCTTTTATTTCTTTTCATTTGTCCTGTGTCTTATTCTTCTGTTCTTTTTTCCCACTGTCCTATGGGTAACTTGAATGTTTGTTAGAGTTCCATTTTGATTTACTCATAATGTTTTTGAGGTTATTACTAAGTATAGCTGTCTTAGTAGCTGCTCTAGGTATTATCATGTACTTATGTAACTAATCACAGCCTATAGATGTCAACATTTTATCACTTCAAATGAAGTGCGGAAACTTTACTTCCACACTTTGGTCTCTTTACCCTCCCTACTTTTTAGATATACTTTTCTTAAGTATTTCCTCTGTATACATTCATCACAACATCAGATGGTGTTATATCTTTTGCTTCAACCATAAAATATGTTCAAGGAAACTCAAGAAGTGAAAGACAGTCTACTATGTTTATTCATATTTTTACCCATCCTGTGTCTGTCTTTCCTTTCTGAAGGTTCTGGCCTTCTTCTGGTATCATTTGTTTTTTTTTTTGAGAGCTTTCTTTAGCCATTATCTAAGAGTAGGTTTGTTAGGAACAAATTCTTTTAGTTTCTCTTCAGCTAAGAATATCTTTATTTCCTCTTCATTAGTTTCACTGGATACAGGCTTCATGGTTGATAGTCTTTTCTTTCAGATTTTGAAAAATGCTATACCATTTCCTCTTAGCCTCCGAGGTTTCAGATGAGAAAACTGCTATTATTTGAATTGGTGTTACTTTATAGGCAATGTATCATTTGTCTCTATTTTTAATATTTTTTCTTTGTCGTTAGCTTTTAGTAGTTTAATTGTGATGGGTCTTGGTGTGGACTTTTTGAGTTTAATCCTATTTGAGATTTGCTCAGCTTCTTGAGTCTGTAGGTCTCTGTGGTTAGCCAAATTTGAGGAGGTCCCAACCATTAATTCTTTGAATACTTTTTCAGTTCCACACTCAAAAGAGTTCCTTCTCCTTCTGAGATTCTGATCACATAAATGTTAGATCTTTTCCTATTACCCCACAGATCTCAGAGGCTTTGTTCATTTTTTTCACTCTATTTTCTCTCTGTTCTTCAAACTGAGTAAATTCTATCGACGTGTCTTGAAGTTCACCGATTCTACCCTCCATCATCTCCACTCTACTATTAAGACCATCCAGCAGTTTTTAAAAAAATTATTGTTGCATTTTTCAGTCCTAAAATGTTCCACTTGATTCTTTTTTATAACTTCTATTTCTTTTCTTAGATTTTCTATTCTTTCACTTGTTTAAAGAGAATTTGTAATTGCTGAATTATTTTTCAGTCAACTGCTTTAAAATCTACAACATATACTCTCAAGATTTTATTCATCTCAGTATTGGCGTCAGTTGATTGTCTTTTCTCATTCAGGTTATTGTTTTCCCGGGTTTTGGTATGATGAGTAATTTTTATTTTATGAACATTTTAATTATTATGCTAGGAGACTCTCGATCTTGTTTCATTCTTCTATGTTAGCAGGTAGTTAACCTGTTCAGGTTTGGAGTGTAGATTCTCACCTACTTTTGTCATTTCAATAAAAATTTAGTTTTCGGAGTCTTTGCAGTACTATTTTAGTCTTCTGGGGCTTTTCTCAATTCCTGCTGCCAGCACCATCTGTGGGAGTAGAACATGCTTCTCTGGGCTACCTTGTAACCATAGGCCACCCTCTGTGAAGGGAAGCAGTGGGCCTGGGTCCACTTATGTCACTGAGTGAATACAGGTTGATATTGTCCCTATGGGTGTGTCAGTTTGCCAGCTGGTGCCCTGGGTGGAAAGTGGTTGGGATTGTCAAGGGCTTCCTGCTGTCACTGTTGCTGGCAGAATGGATTGCCAGCCCTAGTTGTTAAGCAGAAGGTTTGGGCTCCTCATCAGGTCTGTGTTGTGCTTCCCTTTTCCAGTATTTGGATGGAGAAAACAGACTTTTCTTGGGATTTTTTGTCTACCCCTATTAGTGTTGAACACTTATTAGTGTTGCAGACTGCAGGCATTTCTTGGTCCCCAGTTTAGGGAATATTTGAGATGAAAAAAAACCCCAGGAAACTCACCATGTTGTCCTTCCTCAAATCCTGAAGTCTAAAGCTATTCTGTCTTCTTCGTTCCAGCTTTCAGAGATCTTTTATTGTTATGCAATGGATAATTTTCAGAGTATTTAGTTGCATTTATAGGAGACGAGCAGAGAAAAGTGAGTTTATACAATTGTGTTCTAGAATTAGAGCTACTCAACATCTTTAATCCTGCAGAAGGAACACATCTATTGGATAATGTTCACATATCAGATATAGCACCATCATAGAAACTCTTCAATGATTTCTGCTTAGATAGATATAAACCTAGGCTAAAATTAGCTGTGAACTAACCATAATTCCACTGCTCTCCTACTGATCCATAACCTACAGAGGGTGACAATATACTATAACTGACCTTATGGTGAAATGGTTGCAGGAGAAGCATTTTGCCTCAAGGACTATTTAAATCATGTCCTTAATAGATTTGCCTCATATATGATATTATTGTGGGGTTATAAGTAAGTAATACGTAATGTTTGTCACACTCCCTGGTACATAGGACTCAGTAAATTATTAGTTATCATTACTATTCCTTTATTCAGCAAGTATTTATTGAGAACCTATTTGTGCCAGGAACTAAATTCTCTGTCCTCAAAACTAACATTCTAATTGAAGTAAGAAAGATAATGACCCAGGAAACAAGTAAATCAACAAGGTAATATCAAATAATATGAAGCTCCATGCAGAGAATAGAGAGTGGGAGGCTACTTCAGATTTGGTTGTTATGGAAGGCCTCTCTGAGGAGAGGATTTTAAACTGAGATGTGAATTACAATGGGGAATCAACCATAAAAATGCCAAGGAAAATCCATCCTGGCAGAAAGAAGCCAGAATAAGGACGGTAGGCAGAAACACCTTGTCACAATCAAGAAACAGGAAGGCCAAGGCGGCCATTGAGTAGTGGCTAAGAGCAAGAGCAATTCAACACGACACCAAAGACAAAAATAGGGACCGTATCATGCCGATCCAGGTAGGAAGTCTGTGTTTATTCTAAAGGCCACAGAAGCCATTAGAGGATTATTATTGGTAAAACCCAATTTTAAGGGATTTACTCTAATAAACTCTCTGAGCATAGTTCCCTGCAGATGAACTCAAAGTTTCTCTTTAGAGTCTGACCTAAATTAAAGACTCATTAATCTGCAGGCTCACTAAAACTCCACTCTAGCTTTCATCTCAACAAAATGTGGGGCTGAATTTCTCATTATACTGACCGGCATAAAGAATAATTCATGTAATTTTGAGGGACAGTCATTAATCATGCTTCCTTCTATTTCACTTTATGAAAAAATGACTAACATGTTTTGAGCAATTGTTAGTATATTGGTGGATTTTGATTCCACTGGAAACCTCTGTGGAGATGCCAGGCATCTAAGATGCTTTGAATGCCTTTACCATAACACTACTGTGCAAATGAGGACAGAAAGAAAAGGTGTCCAAACATATGGCAGTACAAATGTAAAGGTGGCCCTAGAGCTCTTCTTTTCAATCTATATTTTAATAAATTGGTACAGTGTTAAGTAATTAGATGCGGCCTTCCTTCATGGCAAATGCTATCCTTCTCTATGCCAATGATTTTATAAACATGAACCAGGATTTTCTCAGAGTCCACATATAGTCAGAAGAAAAATTTAACTTATATCTAGGCCTCCCCTTTATGTAGAATTGTATTATATTACCTTAAATTAATAATTTCCTGACTAATTCAGTTCCTCCCAACCAGAAACATTCATGTCATGTAGGCATAGCATTTTAAATTATAATTGTTCCATTGGTGAGTAATCATCTTGTTTTTTTCCAGATATAAATGAAGCACAAGCAGAGCACATTCTGAATAGCTGTAAGTTCAAGAACATCATTGAGATGTTCATAAACAAAATCATAAAACTCGAAACACTTGGCATTTCTCTATTCCCATGTCTATTATTTCCCAAAAGCATCTATCTCTTTAATATGTGAACTTTGACATTTATGCTATAGTAGTGTGATGGTTGTGCTATTAGACAAGTATTTTAAAAGGAGTCAAATGGTATTTTTCTGCAATAAGTAGTATACATTTCACACTCAGAATTGTCAAATATCACTGGGATAAACTGCTGTACATAAGAACATGACCCAGAAAAATGTGAAAAAAAAATGTTAGGTGAAATTGCTTTAGATGAGAGAGGGTGTTATATATTATATTTTTTTTAATTTAATCATTTTTTCAATGTAAATAATCACTATTATGTCATATAATTTTGATTAAATTTTTAAGGCAAGGCAAGTTTATAAATGTTTCTATCTTTAATTATGTGCTAAATATACCTGCACACATTTATAACTCTGGAAATAAGCATCTTATTCCCTTTTGACAGGTTGTGGTTTAGGGAGGGAGCCCCCGTCCATGGAAAGAATTGCTGATGGTTATACTGCAAAGAAAGCTGATTGGCCATGGCAAGCCAGCCTGCAGATGGACGGCATACATTTCTGTGGAGCATCTTTGATCAGTGAGGAGTGGCTGCTGACTGCCGCTCACTGCTTTGACACGTAAGTCCTGAGTCTGTACCAACAGGATCACCAATTTCACCGCTTCTGCTCATGTTCACTTCCTCTAACTCTTATCCCTTTTTCATTAATCATGTTATGCCCCTCAATGGTACTCATGATTATCCATCAGGCTTAGAAGAAGTAACAACTACTGAAGAATAGTAGAAAAAATTAGAGACAGTATCTTCAGCTCCAATTGAATATATATATTCTCCAGCAATCTCAACTTTAACTAAGATCAAGCCAACACTGCCAAAACTTAAACACATTCAGTTTTCCTGAGCTATACTGTGGATTTTTTTAAAACCCTGCTAATAGTATCCCAACCCAGAAACTTACATCCAATTATCCCACGTGAATATCTCTGGTGCTGTGCTTTTTGTATGCCTTTTGAAGATTTAACATATGGGACACTTTGAGATAAAGAGACATAGTAACTCTAGTGAAATTCATACAAAATGGGAAAATATCCTGGATAAAATGTTAACTAAAGAGAAAGGATGAGAAAACAATATATAAAATGTGGCTCCAATTTTACACGTCTCTCTCTTTCTCTCTCCATAGCTATACCTGCATTTATATAACCGTGCATGGATATGAGTATATATGTGTGCATGTATGTGCATATATGTGGGTATATATGTCTAATTTTTACTTATTTATATTTTCTTCAACAAATCGGTATTACTTTCATAATCAAAAATAGCAATAATATATTGTTTCCTTTAAAAAAATACAAAGTCCCCCTCGAGGAGAGTAATTTAAGGTACCTTAGAACAGGGTATTTGATGTCAGCTAAAGGAAAGCCAAGCAGTCCTAGGGGAGAAGCCTCCAATAAGAAAGTGGGAGGATCAGAATCAACGATCACTTTAAACAATTTGCCCTTCTCACACACTTATGCCCCATGCTCACCCAGAGTCCTGGGCAACATCAGATCAGAAATGAACCAACCATAATCCTTTTAATCTGTAATCAGTTACAAAAACCCCAAACTCTGGACGGCTAGTTTTGGAACAACCCTGAACCCTCCACTGATGAGAAGAAATGTGCAGTCAATTATTGTTCATGAAAACTATGCTGCCCATAAGCATGACGATGACATCGCTGTGGTGAAGCTTTCCACCCCGGTAATGTTTTCTGAAGATGTGCGCAGAGTCTGTCTCCCGGATGCTACTTTTGAAGTCTTGCCTAACAGTAAAGTGTTTGTCACTGGATGGGGAGCATTAAAAGCAAATGGTGAGTATCAATAAACTCTCAAGCAAAATATGCAAATCCATCCTCCATTTGAATGGAGATATAAACTAAGATACAAAATCAAAATATATAAAATAGATGTAATCAAGATGTCCCATGAAAAATATGGCAAAAAGAACCCAAAAAAAACCGAGATATGGTGTATTATGGAAACTTTGGCTACTACCATTACAGTATCTATGTTTATCATCTTCTTTATGGCCTATTTTGGAAACTAGTTATAATTTTCTTTTCAAAAACTGTTAAAGCAGGGGCAGGCCCAGTGGCCTAGTGGTTAAGTTCTCATGCCCCACTTTGGAGGCTTGGGGTTCACAGGTTTGGACCCCAGGCATGGACTTACACATCACTTATCAAGCCATGCTGTGGTAGCGTCTCACATACAAAGCAGAGGAAGATGGCACAGACGTTAGCTCAGAGCCAATCTTTCTCAAAAAAAAAAAAGTTAAAGCGTATTTTTTCACATCCTTTTTTTCTTTCTGTTGCTGTCTTTCATTTTTAGAGATTCTGCTATGCCTCCATGATGCTTAAAGTATGTGATTTCTGAGCAGTAGTAATGATAAACTTCTGTAATGTGTCATGCAACTAAACAAAAATACCCTTAAGTAAGCATTTTGAATGGCATGTGTGAGGCAAAACATAAATGAGCCCCCTCTGATCCTTGTATCTATGGAGTAGTTTTTGAGCCAGAGACTTTATTAAGTTGACAAATATGACATTTTACTACACTTAATAATACAAGATAAGCTGCAAAGATAGAACTTTAGATCCTGACATGAGTCTCTAGTTCCTGTGACTCTTGGTTGGACTTTTTATACATGGTTTAATCTGCCCTTGAATTTCTGATTCTTGTTCCAGGCTGTTAATATAAAGTCACAGTCTTATTTATACACTTGCTCAAAGTATAGCTTTTATCTCAAAGTACAGTCTTTATCAGTTGATTTTTATAGAATTCTGCTTCCCTTCAATATGCACTCCAAAATTCTGGCACTGAGTCCAGGTTGATACTCTGTTGTCATAACCTGAGCATTCTTTTCCTCATCTCTGGAGGACCCAGCTTGTTCTACAGGCAGTGGTGATAAGTATGGAAGGAAATTAAATCCTTTGGGATTAGACAAGCCACTTACTGATAGGAGTACAAGGAGATAGCATCTACCTCTAGGGAAGCACCATTCCACTTCCTCTAGAATCTAATTAAACCTGACACCACCTCTCCCAGAGTACTAGTTTGGGATGATTTGGGACTTCACCATGAATCATTCAATGCCCAAGAAAGTGCAGATTACTATGCATTGATCTATCTACTCTTACAGGTTGCACACTTTTCAGGAATAAGGTTATGAATTTGTTAGACATCAGGCTAAAGCTAATCTTTAGATATTTGATTATGGGGTTTTTTTTGGTATTCCGAAACTGAGACAAGGGCTACTCAGGTTTTCTTCTCTAACCTTCTAAGATTTATCTAATTATATCTAATTAGAATCTTAGTACCAGACAGCTTATAAAATGGAAACTTCATTCTGGATGGTTTCTTCCTTAAATAGTTGATAATGTAAAATAGCTCGTTATATTGTTAAAGCACTTGGATTGACTTTGTAAAAATTGAGATTAAAGAATTATAAGCATTTGAAATTTAAAACTAAGCATTCTAGATGAATTGGCTAAAATAAAAATAGGCACACAGAAATTATAAGTATTGGAATGCAATTGATTAAATCCTAGGACTACTTATAAATTTTAAATATCAACTAGAAACAGCAAAATAGATAGTATTGAATATTGCTGAGGCACCTACACAAATAAATAGTTAAAAAGTCTGTATGAAGAGCACATAGTGAGCAGATTCTCTCACTGGGAGCATTTCAAGCAGAATGAGAGATAAAGTAAAGAGAAAATGGTCATAGAATGACCCTCCCATGCTTAAAAATGATGACTGAGGTGAAGAAATTCACTAGAACCTAGATAATTTTAAATGACTGTTAAGGAGTTGGACTTAGTTTTTCAGAAAGATAGTCAATTCTAGGTAAGTGAATTTATTAGTTTTAAAACAGAGAATTAGACTTAGTTACAGTGAATGACAAAATCCCTAGAAACCTAGATCTTCTCTTATAAAAGCTCTAGCTCTTACCATCCATTAACATGGATGCACAGCTTCCAGACCATGAGAGTTTTAAATATATAATCCTAATCTCTACAATTCACTCCATCTTCCATTGATTGAAGTCTGAATATAGGACAAGGCACTATTCATAACTGATTATATTCGTTATTTTTTAACCCTCACAATAAACATATGAGATAGGTATTATTTTTTCCTTTTTATAGGTGACTAAAACGATGCTTAGTACGGTTAAGTAACGTGTCCAAGGCCACATAGCACATAAATTTTGCAAAGTGTTCAAACTTATATCTGCTGTCTCTAAGACCAGAGCCCTTAGCACAGAATTACCCTGACTTGTTGCTCAAATCAACAGCACTGCCCTTCTTCATCCTCTCAATTGTCTTTGAACCTGTTATAAATAAAGTATCCATCTTTATATGAAGGACTAACAATCTTTAAAACTGAAGCTGTTAAGGGAGAATAAGAAGAATACAATGGCTAAAACAGTACCATACACAACTAAATAATACTTTTCCTATAATAAAAAAAATTTAAAAATGTGTAGTTAATTAGTAAAGCATGATCTATTTCCTATCTTAGTATTTGTTACTTACATTGGTATTAGTTGTGGATAGCAATTTGAGCTATTATCAAAGTTGACGTGGTCTTTCTTATGAAGTAATAGGATTCCAACTATTCAGTATTAAAGTTACTTCCTGAGAGTGTAACTTTGTGCTCTACTGCTCTTGCTAAAGGATTTTCAATTCCCAATATAGCTGTGTCCTTTGTAAAGCGATGAGGCAGATTTCTGGCTAAGGCAAGGTAAACTGTCACAGATTATCCCGATTGGGGAGAAATGCCCTGGGTTTAAATCTAATGTTATCCTGCCTTTGGGTATGTGATCACAGCAAGACTCATAACCAGGTGAGTATTCGTTTTCTCATCTGAAAAAGAAAATGTTCATATCTACCTTTGGTGGTTGTTGCAAGGAAAATAAGATAGTGGAAGCAAATGTGCCAAGAATGGTACCTAGACATAGAAGGCACCCAAGAAATATAACTGGAATCTGACCACCATCATCAAGCCCAGAGTCCTACAGCTTCGAGAAATATATTTTATCACTGATCCATCCTTTGCAAGACACAACAATTAACTATCATAAGCAACAATGTGGAAATTCTTCATCTATTTATTTTCTTCTTCTTTAGGTCCCTTCCCCAACACTTTGCGACAAGTTGAAGTAGAGATCATAAGTAACGATGTATGTAATCAAGTTTATGTATATGGTGGTGCTGTATCATCAGGAATGATATGTGCTGGATTCTTGACAGGAAAACTAGATGCCTGTGAGGTAAGAATAGGCTCAAATCCACAAAAATAAATTTGTTGAATAGAGATGGCTTTACTGAACATAGACTAATGTCACTTCATGTGACTCCATACATTAAGTTGTGGATGAGAGAGGAGAGTGTAAAAAGAGGGACTGGAAGAACCATAAGACATACTCCTCATTTAACACCCTATTATTATCCAGAACTATATGTAAAAAATGATCACCAGACGCCAATTAGAAATCTGATTAGAGAAAAGGACTGGAAGCAGAGAGCAGAAACCAAGTCAGGAAGCCACACAATCATTGCTTCCAGCCATGATCATAACCAATGGTTAGGTATCTAATTTCTATCAATCATAAGGCAATGTGGGTTGGGATCTGCAGATGTCTCCAGGGCTAGTAGAACACATCTCACCAGTGCTTGAACCTTTGACCTTAAACAGTGTACATCCAGATAGAATTATACTAGTTAGGGAAAAAACCATGTTTATCTAAAATTATTCATATTAAAGTGTTACCTCACAAATCATGTATAGAAACTACTTAAATAAATAGCATTTTCCCATAGCCATCAAAACATTAATTTTAAGCATTAAACCTTTAAAGAGAATACCAGTTTTAAAGTCTGGCTATTTAAAGGACAAAAACTAAATACTGAAAATAATAAAGATTTTACCTATAGCATTTGAAACCAGGTCTAATAGTTTAACAATTCTTGAAGGATTAGGAATGGCTTTGAGAACTTGACACATCCGAGTGCTTTTATTATTTGCAAAGGTGCCACTAATCTGTCACTGGCTGTCTCTTATGTAATGTAACAAACATTCATTCACTTACTCATTCAAATTTTGTGAATTGTAAGGTACCATGGCAATTACAGAAGGAAACATTAAAAAAAACCACAATGAATTTACAATCTAATAACATAGCATACAAGTAACTAAAACAATGAATAAACAACTAGGATTTGAATAAACAACTAGAATAAATAGGATCTATTCTAGAATACGTCTCCTTTCATTCACTTTACTTCCTGAAAAGTAGAAACAACACGGGTGGTCCAAGATACAACTGGATCACATGACTTTTGAGGAAGAACATAAATAAATCCATATTTAGAATAGACTCAAACCCACAAAAATGAACCTGTTGAATAAAGAGTTCTATTTGAGTTTATTCTATTAAGGCAGCAGAGGTTCTCTTTCCATTGGTCCACTCCCCTTTGCTTCCTTCACCACTAGCATACTGAGGATGTAAATTAGGATGTGGGCCTATGAGAAAGGAGCTGAGAAGGATAGCTTTTGGTGGACCATAATTTTCACACTCTGTCCACTGTGCACTGGAGTGTACTAAGAAGCATGTGAAAGGAAGAGAGCTAAAGGCACAAGACTCTAGGACCCCACACCTGCTTCAAAGGGGATCATCTCTCCTATTAAAAAAAATGTCTGTAAGGGGTTTCCATATCATACCTCTTTTGAATAAATAGATTCACTGCTAAAAGATAAAATTAAAAATCATTTGTCTAAACCTTGGGTCAAAGATATCAGGGAAGTCTTCATGATTCACACACTTCAAACCAGGGGTTCCACCTTAGCTTGGGAGAAAAATCCTTTGTGTGGTAAATGGTGTACATTTGCCTGAAGTGCCCTTTGCATATCTTCCTCCTCTCAAACGTATCCCTGTGCAGTGACGCAGTGTCCAGGACATCTTCCTATCAGCTGGTGTGCGTGGAACAAGGTGAGATTCAAATTCAATGCAAGAGATTACTTCCACCTAACAGAGTTAGGAGAGGCTTCATGGAGAAGGTGACATTTAGCTGAGGCTTGAGATCATCATTTATGCAAAAATTGGATGCACAGACTTAGGTTCAGTTTGTGCTCTCTTTTTAGAGGAAGCAAAACTAAAAACTATACAAGGATAAAACCGAAACCTTAGCTGTATTCACACTATCTTCCAGATGAAGACATTAATAGAGATAAGCAGAGATCATAATATAGATAATAAGCTCAATTACCATATTAATACTAATGGTAAGTAAAAATAATTAGTTTTGCATACTTCAATTCAAAATATTAATTTATTAGACATTCAGATGCTGATTAACGCAGATTTCTGACATCCCTTTATTTATTCCATTGATGTTATTTTTTTCTTCTTCTTCTCCAGGGTGATTCTGGCGGACCTCTGGTTATAGCACGTGACAGAAACATCTGGTACCTTATTGGAATAGTAAGCTGGGGAATAGACTGTGGCAAAGAAAACAAGCCTGGAGTTTATACCAAAGTGACTCGTTATCGGGACTGGATCAAATCTAAAACTAACATTTAATGCAACATCTACCTCTACATCCAAAATGTAAATGTTATGTGTGGTCTGTAGCAAATTGTGTGTTTAGCATGTGTTGCCGTGTATATTGTCATCAGTTTCAGGATGCAAATAAGTGCGATCTGACAATTCTCCCCTTAAACATGAAGAAAGCAGGCTTTCTTCCACCTCACCTGAAGTGCTTTGCTGACCATGAGCATACAAGATACTGTCAACTCCACAGAGCTGCTGCTGCCATTGCTGCTAAGTGTCTCTGATTACCTCCTTGCTCATCTTTCTGTCCATACTACACACTTCTCATTTTAGAATAATCTAGCAGCTTTATCAGATAAGTAACAAGTGGCTAAGCATTCTCTATTTTCTCCCTGACAGAGCATGCTGCCCTTCCCTGACTCTGCAGTTTGTATCGTCCTCATCGAATAATCCTCATTAAGAATCTGTAGGTCCACTGTACTAGAAAAATCAAGGTAACTAGTTTTGGCCAATGCTAATACAAATGACGGAGGGGCACTAGACATGAAACTAAAACTTAGGGATGGCACCACTGTGAGTCCAATCCCTTTGCCCTCAGATGCACGTTTAACCTCTTTGAAACTTGAAAAAAGTTGACATTTACGTTTATGCCCAATAGTACAGATTTTAAGCTCTTTAAACTACTCTAATGTTTACTTTGAAACAATGAATGAATCCTTGGATCAGACACCAGGAGAATTGAAATATTGCCTAACAAAGGATTCTGTTCTAAACTATGCCATAATGCCTTTTGGTACTTAGAAAATAAAGACAAAGTTTCTTGGCCTTTTCGTGAGGTGGAAACAACAAGCAGCAAGGACTCAGTGAGAAGAAGCTACTTTCCATCTCTAAAAATTGGAGAAATTCCAATCCTGGTGTAAATTTACTTTTCACTTCTGTTTTACTATTTCTTAATGCATTTTATTTTGTAAACAGTTTTATTTTCAGTCAACTTCCAGAAAAATTAAAGGCCCTGCAGAATGAGAAGCCAATATAAATTAGATATTCTTAAATAACTTACATGAGAAGCCAATATCAAATTAGATAGTCATTTATACTTTGATGCGAGATTTTGGGGAAGATCTTAATGTATAACATTTAAATTTACTGTTAAAAAGTGGCCAGCACTCTTTGAAAATGGTATTTATGGAGAATATTCAAATAATCAGAAAGTATCTTTGGAAGGGTTTCATTACTATGATAAAACAGTTCATTTTTATATACACTTAAATACACATTCTGTGGCGTTATGTATGACTGTGCTCTAGTGTTCAGCAGAACTCAAACCTTTTCTGTGCATCCAAATCTTTATTCGCTTCCCCCCTTTCTGATTAATTAATGAAATGACTGCCACGTGATTTTCTTTTGAGTTTTATATCACGTAAAAGTCTCTCTTGTCCCTTGTAATGTTATATGGTATACATTAAAATATATTTATAATAATAAACTCAAACTCATTCTTTTTGAATAGTCGCCATACTACAGGGTTTCTCAACCTTGGCGCTACTGACTTTTTCTCAGAGAGAATTCTTTATTGTGGGGGGAGGGTGGCAGCTACCCTGTGAATCGTACAATGTTTGGCAATATTCTTTCCCCCTACACACTATTTGCCAGTAGTAATCCCCACTAAGTGGTAACAGCCAAAAATGTATCCAGACATTGCCAAATGTCCCTTGGGGGATAAAGACATCCCTGGTTGAGACCCACTGCCATGAGATCCATAATCAGAGGAAAAAAGTCACTGTTAAAAATCTTGCCCCCATAATTTCCTTACATGAGTTTGGGAATACCTTCCTTCTCCCCATTTTTATAATGCTGATTTATTGAGAATGCTAAATGACCATCTATCATGGACACACTCATATCTAAACAACCCTTGTCAAATTAAGATCATTTGGAAACTGAAGGTGGTTGGAGAAAGGAGGCTGTTAGAAGGCTGAGCTGCTACTGGCAAATAATTCATCTTGATAGATAGGTAGATAGATGGATAGATAGATAGATAATCTCCATATAGATGTATTGAGATCTATAGACATACATCCATAGAGATCTACATCAAGAGATAAGAGAGATTGATTTGTCAAATACCCAAATCTTGCATAATCACACCACATATACTCTATTTAGTATTCTCAGAATGTATAAATACTGCTTGGAAAGAGATTTATGTATTCATCTGAGGCAGAATGGCTCAGTCCATCACCACTAACGCTGAAGAGTGGAGAATAGAAAATTACATAGCACCACTATGCACTAAAAGCTACACTGTTCAATATGGTGGCCACTAGCCAGATGGGGCTATTTAGATTTAAATTAATTAAAATTAAATACAATTAAAACTAATTTCCTCAGGCATGCTAATCACATCTCAAATACAAAATAGCCACTTGTGACTAGTGGCTACTACACTGGGCAGCACAGATATACACTATTTCCATCATGACAGACAGTTCTATAGACATCACTGACCTAAAGCATTCAATGCAACTACTTATATAATCACTCACTCATCTAACAAATATTTCTTTAACCTCTCCGTGTCCGACTTTGGGTACTCTAGACACTGGGTACACAATTGTGTATAAAACCAAGTTCCATTCTCAAGACCACATAAAGAGGTAAAAGTATTTTTGATAACTGCTGTTGAAAGTAGCAAACCCTTTGGGGAGTGTGGTTGGCCAGGCATAGCATGACCACTTTTAAACTCTCCTTCCTCTAGCAGCACTGGTCCACTAGTAAAGAGGGGACTCTCTGTATGAGCTATCGCAGGCCCCCCCGGAGACAGATATGTAGACTAAAATGATCAGAAATGGGTTTTTCAACCTTCCTTAGACAAAGATCCCAGAACTTCCCCAGTTTACGGTACATTAAAGAATCAAAAAGAGTTTCCATTGTTTTTTAAGTCAACAGGGAATTTCTTATAACCCAGAAAGATATATTAATGGCAACCAAACAAAAGAATAGCAAATAATGGAGAAGCGTCAGAGTGATTTAGTCACAAAGATAAAAACTTTTAAATGGTATTTTAAGCAAGAAGTCAACCCAAATAAAACAAGGATTAGATTGTGCAATCTGTTAATGTCGTTTTGTTGTAAATGAATCCAGGCAATGCAGAAACCACAGATCACTGTGACCCACACCTATGTTCATTAAAACGCTCCAAGAAAGACACTAAGAAACTTTGACCAAACGTATTACTATGCTGCCATCTCCTGGTCCATGTTATTTTTAAAGTATATTGTAATTTTATTTCAAGCTATAGAGTTACTTGAGCTGTTTTCCAACATAGCGTAGTATAAAGAGAAATCTGGCAATCTCTCCCTAATTTTCTCCTAAAGTAATGAAAGTTTCAAGTTTTGTATACCCTTTCATATTGTTCTCTCTGTTTATACAAACATAAACAAATACATCTGTTCAGTTATACAGCATTAACCTATCTTTTTCTTTCAAAAATGGTATCATTTTATATGCACACACATACGTATATGCATATATATCTGGGCTTTCCTTTCTGCCAATATGGTGAACTAGTGTAGAATACTTACTCCCTCCCCCAAGTCAACCAAATCAGATAAACTACAGAATAAAGAGGTAAACATGGATTCTAGGCCAGGAAATTATAATAAAAGTGAGAGACTGTGAGACTAGGGCTGTCTTGAACTGGAATACATAGGGAGGGTAGATGGCTGAAGCCTGAAATGGAATGAAACAATAGTTGAAAGAAAGCTTTTAAGTTTTACTCTTGTGTCCTCCAACACCTTGCCTTGCCCTGTGTTGCCCTGAGAAAATGTTTACCTGCTTTTCATAACAGAAGCTAGTCTCAGCAATCCAGACCACCAATTTTGGGAGTATCAGGGTAAATGCCAATGAAGGAGAAGAGTTTCTAGCAAGGGTGGCAATGAATCAGCTGCTTTCAGGGCTTTGCTGCTTCACCCTCACTCCTCCAGACCTCCAGGGCTGGTGCATTAAAATTTAGGGAGACTGTTTCCTCCCAGCACTGCTTCACTCAAAGAGCCCAGCTCTGTAGCTGCTCCTCCTAGGTTCAGCCTTCACCTGCAGTGGAGTGTCACCACTGAACTTCTTAACTATGCTCAAGCCCCTCTCACCAGCTCATTTCTAGTGGCTTTGGTAAATGGCGTGTCCTCTGGGCCCTCCCATGGAACATATCCCTTAGTGTGTCTTCTGGCTTCACATAATATATGCATTCCAGCATGCTCATTTCCCTCAGCCTCTTTATTTCTTCCTCCACTGTCTACCAGGGCAGTTAGGGCATTTCTGCTTCACTCAGCCTTGGCTATTGCTTTCTCCAGGGTGTCAAGAGCTACCCTCACAGCAAACTTGACCAATCTCCTTGGGTCCTTGCCAGGGTGTTTAATTCCATATCTCAACAAATTCTTACTTATTCAGTCTTCCATTCAGCTCTCCTTCATCAAGCACCCTCAAAATCCAGTGCCAAGAACAGAAGTACTCCTCTATTGGTACATACTCACTAATTCCTACAATTCTTATAGTGCAGTCTCTTTCCTCCCTTCTCAGTCCCAATCCATGCCCAGATGAGCTATGGGCCTGGTTGTTAATTTAGCCTGTGGGAATATCCCTTGAGGAGGCATCCGTTGCCTTGTAGGGGAAAGGAGTCTGTAGCATCATTCAGCGAGTGAGTTCTGGCCCTTACTAAGGAGTCAGGGACTGCTTCTGAAAATTCTGAGAGTTCAGGGGATCTGCAGAACTAGCATCTTCAAGGATATCCATCCACTTGTCTCCATCTTACATTTCAAGGTCCTAGGTTTTCCCAACCGGGAACCTGATCTAAGCAAAGAAGATCTGCTTTGACTAAACATTCAAACTCTGGGAATCTAACTATTAGATCTTCAGCCCATTGCTTGGCTGTGTCTACTCTTGCTCTGTAGGAGATTATAGCCTCTCTGTAACTGGCTCTCACACTTAGCCTTTAACTGATTGTAAGTGAATCTCAGTTTCTCTATCCCTTTGCAGGGCAACAATGCAATTTAGCAGTCACCAGCCAATTCCACTATCTTCGTAGGCACTCCTCCTTCTCATCTTTCAATTGCCCACACCATTATCCTTGTAATGCTATTTCCTCTACCAGGAAGTTTTCCCAGGTCACTGCTGGTGAAATTTTTAGTAATTCAGATATCACTTTATGCCAAGGATTATCTGTTCACCACATGCCACTCAGGAAGTTATCTTCTTTACCTAATATGCAGTGAAGTGAATTAGCTGGTCCTAAATTTTCTCATTTCACGCAATCAGACCCCAAGGTGGGATTTGAGTCACACGAGATTTATTGGGGAAATATCTGTAAAGAAAATGGGATACATGTTGAAGAGTCAAAGAGATCTTACAGAATGCAGGTCAGTAGAGAGAGTAGGAAGAGAGAGAAGGAGAAGAGTTGGATAGGAAGAGTCTCACATGGCAGTGCAGTTCCAAGAAAATTTAGCCAAGCCTCTGGGGCATCCTCAAGTCAGTCACCCATCAGAGGAGTCTCACATTTCCCAGGAATGGGCCTGCCCTAACAGCCCTGCTGTGCTTGATCGTAGGCTGGGAGAAGCCTGTAGGAGCACGGCCTCATTGTGAGTGCAGTGGTGAGGTCACAGCACTGCAGCTGGGGCCGTCTGTCCATTATATTCTCCAAAGCTGGAGATCTGGGAGGCACATTTCCATGATCACCACAACCATGGATCCCTGCCTAAGAAGTATGCACAACAGTAGACTCCAGAAATAGATTAGAGACATAGATGAGAAGGGAAAAAGTGATAATGTCAATACAAAAAAAAAAAAAAAAGGAAGAATGTCTTTGCAACCCAGGATAAGGAATAGATTGTTAAAACAAAGCATAAAGAATATTAACTGTGAGGCAAAAAATATATATAATACTTTTGACTATTCACTGCTTCCGTTAGGTAAATAATACTATGGATAGAATGGAGAAAGATATTTTAAATGCCTTTAACTGAAACGGTAGTGACACTAGAAAGTACTACTGCAAATCAAGAAGGAAAAGCACAATCTCACTAGAAATATGGGTAAAGGATATGCAAGGCAATTTACAGAAAAGAAATCCAAAAACCTAGCAAGTATATAAAACAAATTCTCAAGTAATTAATACTGAGAGAAATGCAATTAAAATAAAAGTAGGGCATCACTTTACACCTAGTGACAAATGGAATAATGGCAAGTATGGGTCAGGTCACAGACTTGGACTACTGGTGTTAGTAGCCAATCATGGTCTTCAGAATTAATGACCCACCTCTATTCAATTGTTGAAGGAAGGAGAGAGCATTTTCTCACTTTGCATAAACTTCTAAGGTTGTTAGAGTAAGCGGTAAATAATTACTCTGGCTTTCTGTGCGAAATAACCAACACAGATTTCATCCTCAGAGGTGCCGGCAGTAGAAAGTAGTAATGTTTGTACATTAATGTTTTAACTTAAATAGATTCTTATATTTATAATTGATACTTGTAACAAACTGCCCTAACTGGTAACTTTGATTAAAATAAGTACATTAACACAGCCCCTTCTTTTTGTTCTACTTAGTTAAAAGTGTGGACAGTATGATAACATAGGGGAGAAAGAAATATTCCTCTACACTTCTAGGTTCTTCTGGCTAGTCCAAGAATTAATTGATATGAGACAGATTAACAGGAGAAAAACAAATGAAAGTTTAACAACATGTATACATGAGAGAGCCCCAGGAAAATCGAGGAACATGCCAAAATGGCAGAAGCCCTCACCTTAAAGGCCATCTTCAGCGAAAGACAAAGGGGGATGTTGAGGGTAGTACCTTGAGACTTTGAAGAGGAGGAAGGCAATACGCACGGGGATAGAAAAGCAAATGTATGGTAAACAAATGTTTGCTATGCCTTGCAGAGACAATGGGACATGGAGAGGACTCTAATCTCTAGGCCCCGCCCAGTCTCCCTTGCCGCACCTAACCCATATTTTTTGTAGATATCTCTAGTGATAGCTCTGTTCCTGTTACTGGCCATTTACCCAAATTCTTTTTGGCAGTTAAGGGGGAGGTAAAAGAAAACTTCCTGAGTCTTCTGTTTCTTGAAAAATAATCAATCTAAAAAAATCAATAT